TCTATTCTAAAATTATATATAGTTGCCGTGATTTGGAGCATAAATAGAAGTGCGGTAGCTTCAGATCGCTGAGTTCATATTCAGACGTTAGGTTATAAATATAGGTAGTAGCTCGACGGATTGAAGGCCTGTAAAGACACGTATTTTTAGAACAGACACGTATTATGATTGAGTATCACGAGATGTATTTCGCACAAACACGTATCATTGACTCATAGCGTTTGTTAACATTTGTTGTTTTGCGGTTATTACACCATAAAAGATAAAAATATTTTTATATTAATCGTTTATTATTATTTTTTTTATTAACCCGATTAATCGTTTATTGTTGAATGACCGGTAATTATTATAAAAATAAGTAATGAGTATTATTTTAATTTTTATAATAATAATAAATAAAAATTATTATTTATCATCCACTTTATTTTTTTATTTTTTATTTTTATTTTTATTATATATATATATATATATATATATTTTTTTTTTTTCTTTTTGAGATTGTACTGGACTATAAATAAGTGTAACTCTTAAGTTACAGTTTTGGTATCGAAATTGAGTTATTATTACTTTCAATGCATTAGTATGACCAATTGGTTCTTAGTTAAGAACGGCTAATAAGATCAAATTAAAACCTATTGTTTTACGATATAGTTGAGTTATTATTGTTTTCTGGCAAGAGAATTGAGTGATGCAAAGTTGCCAACTAGTTAGATGATTGAGTCAAAACCCACCTTATCTTAGTTAAGTGCCGTTTGACTATTTAAATTTGGCAAAAAAAATAATAATAATTGATAAGCAAATGTTATATGAGAGATACTAAAGACAGTTCGTCTCAGCTAGTGTCAATTTTTTTGTTTTTTTCATTGGCTGTAGTTTAGTTTATTAATTATAGTATTTCCTACTTTTATGAATATTGAAAACTTAACATTTGTAGACAAAATTACCCTCCATTCTTTTGTTCCGTGTATATAATACACAATAACTAACCTTGAGTGAATGTTTTTTTTGTTTGTTTTTTTTTTTTTTTCGTCTTTAACTATATGTATATATAATTCATATTTTTTGTTTACTATTATATATACTTCATATAAATTCAGGTAAATCTGACTTTAGATGGATTCTTTATTTAATATATATATATATTAAATTGTGAAATTGAGTTTTATTTATTTAGTGAGAGGGAGATGAAGTTTTTGTAAAAACCAAAGAGAATTATGGTATTGATGAAAAATAAAAGGTGAAAGATAAGGATGCATATATATATATATATAAACACATATAAAGAAAAGTATAAAAAAAGAAAAGCACTTTTTGGATATGTGTACGATACTTTTTAAAAGTAAAATTAATCATTTTCGATAATTCACCAACACTAGCCACAAACGCATGTAGGGCACTCACGTCCATTTTGAAAATAATTTGAAGACATTTTAAAATGTCTAACTTTTTCTTTATAAATATATATATATATTATATATAACCATCATTACAGTAGCATAATTATATCTTGTAAAATATATAACGATCGTTGCAGTAATAGCATAATTCCATCTTGTAAAGTATATCCGGTTAACTCTAAATTAAATATAAATTAAAGTTCTATAGTAATCTCAGTCACTGAATATATACGCATAAATAAAACTTTATAATTATATATAAGCGTGCTCAAGCCTAATGGTGTTCATCTTTTTTGTTTTTTTAATAGAATTTAAGTATTAACTATTCATATGTGAAAAAAAAAAAAAAAAAAAAAAAAAAAAAAAAAAAAAAAAAAAAAAAACACAGAAGAAAAAGAAGAAGTATTAACTATTCATATTCTATCTTGTCTATGTCTGTGTCTATGTTTGCATTGACTTTTGTGAGAGGGTGTGACATGGGTGAGTGCAAGGCATTAGACAAGCTGACGAGTTTTTTGTTGCACAATTTTAAAAGGTGATTGAATAAGTGCTTATATGTGCTAGTTTCATTTTCAAATGGTATGATTATTTTTGGGGTAAAATCTAATAGCAAAATTGAGAAAAGGATAATACCATGCCATCTGGTGGAGTAGTATTACAGTGAGAACAATATTTAACATATTTTGTGAGGTTTTGTTCAATAAAAAATTATATGTATACCAATATTATAGTTATGAAATTAAAAACCTTCAATATTTTTTAATTATTATATTTTTAATAGACTTCTCACTTGTTATGTTGACTTTTAATGTGAGGGTATTTATTTCGATCTAAACTTTTCTAAAAGGAGCTAAATCTCTCCGTAGCTAGTATTTTTGGTGAACCCCGCAAAATTGGTTTGTTGCATTTATTTAGATTTTGCAACAATATAAATGCAAATTTCACTCATATTTTAAACGACATATCAAGAACCAGTTACAAAATTACCTTAACTGCCAAATGGTTTTTGCAGCCTCTTAGTAATTGTTAATTTTTCTTTTTTTCTTTTTTTGTGATTATTGCATGTTGTTGTTAATATTATTATATATAATATGTGTTATGGACTAGTAACACAATCTTTTTCAATGATGTTTTTACTCTTTGAGTGCGGTCTCGTTCTTGTTCCCACTTGTATACCTTTAATTTTATCTATTTTACATTCCCGCTCTCAAATTCACTCTCGTTTCCGTTTTTACTTTGTATGACTTAAAATTTTTGTTTCTTTTGTATTTTTACTCTCAAATTCGCTCTATGTGACTGAAATTATAAATAGTAATTTCTCATTATGAGTGAATTTATTATTTTGTAGAGAAATACTAGTTTGTTGATGTATGTATACACTGCATGTGAATACAAAGGGACATTGACACGAAGCAATGGTTGAGACATCCACGCGGCAGCTGAAGGAGCTTTGGGAGTGAGGAGAAAAGGGCGTGGGAGGGGAGTGGTGTTGATGAACAATTTTGGCAGGGAGTAATAGTAATCACATTGAAATATGTGGGAATACATGGGTATCAACCATTGCTTCGTACCCATGCATGTTTCAGCACTCACAAGAGGTTAATTGCATGCCTAGTCTGTTTAACCTTTCGGAAACAGACATTGCCAATACCAGACAACTATAACAATCAGTGGAAGAAGATAAGTATTACCAGGTCTTTGTCCCTTTCTTTTTGTTACAGCATTGATATATATATATATATATATATATATATATATAGGATAATGCTTAGTTACTCACCGGTGAGTAAGGTGAAGCTACTCACCCCTATATAGTCTAATAACAAAATAACACACCACATTTAATAATAAAATAATTCACACCTAAAAACACTGTTGATTCGAGAAAGCACAAAAATGTGTGAATTATTTTATTATTAAAGGTGAAGCGTTATTTTGTTATTGACCACATAGGGATGAGTAGCTTCACCTTACTCGCCGGTGAGTAATTAAGCATTGTTCTTGTTTATATATATTTAGGTTATTTTTATAGACTATTTACATAGTTAAAACGCAATTTTTTTAATGAACATTGGTGAATACTGTAGACTATTACACGTGTCTTGAAATTAATAAAGCGCAATTTTTAGATAAACATTGGTATGTTAGCTCAGAAACCACTAGTCTTAATGCTATTTTAGTTACTTGAATTGCAGTATTGTTTTTTCTCTTATTAACAATACTTTATTTACGGAAAAAAAAACACAAAAATTAATTATTATTTCGAGTCATGAGTAAGTAAATCTGTTCTCCGAAATTTGAATTAAAAATTATACTGATTCTAAGTTTTAAATTACTCCAGTTTCAATTTGAAGTGTTATCTATAGTACCAAACACGGTATTAATTTTTAACGGATAAAAAAATAAAATAAAAAATAATAATAATTTTACCCCTAAGCCCAGCCTACCTTTTAGGGATTTGTTCAAACTTCAAACCCAATCCCCTCAATGGGCCCAAACCGTGCTCACACCTACTCAATCCCAACCTTAGCGAATAATGGGCCCAAATTAACTCACAACAAACTCAACTGAAGTTAGTACACTCACAACCAGCGTCCTAGCAGTGGCAAACCCAATCCACTTGTCAAAAAATGGACCCAAACCCAAATCACACCAAAATCAAACCAACCCACTTGACATCTTATGGACCCACCACCTCTACACTTTTATAAAAAAAAATGTCCCAAAACCAACACCCTCACAAACAATGGACCCAAATTAACAATAAACACAAGTGATGTTAGTGGACCCAGTTGGGACTTTGGTATTTGTGGAATAGACTACCAAAGAAAAAATAACAACATATATATAAATGATATAATATACATCATCTCTATAATCACTGCCTACCACTCAAGTGGGCCGGTGGACCTGCATTCACCACCAACCACCCACCCACCCACCCACCACTATGTTCCTGTGTCTCTTTCATTGTATCCATATATCTTGTGGCCACAGCCCATATGCGACATACAACTCTACTTGAACGGCAATGCTAGCTATCTTTGACAAATCAATGTGGTCCAAAACTTATTATATCCACTTGGACATTGAATTTTTGTCATTTTGAGACCATGTGGCAGTGGTCTTCGATCACTAGTGCATGTGGTTGGATCAAAATTATGTTCCACGACATTGTCAATCGAGTCATGCTATCATGAGGCCCATTTCATAACAATTGATCAACATAAATTCTGTCTTTAATTTGATTTAGATCATATACAAATATTAAGACATGCAGCAAATTATTTGAATAATGATTGCATGAATATTATACATTCAAAATTTTAAATTAAATTTTATTATTATTACACGAATCACTCAAACTTCATTTTATGAAATTAAACTATCATATTTGATTGTCAACTTTCTTTTTTTTTTTTCTTTTTTTTTTTTGCAATAAGATCACTTTAATATTGGCCATGTGGTTTAATTTAAAGGAAAGTTCGTACCATGTGCTCCATCTCATAGTAATATTACTCTTTATCATCCTACCTCTCCACCTTTAAAACCCCAATCCTGGGTCACAATATAGCCTCAACAAGGCACGTGCTTGAGCGTGCGCTGGGGTCCTTGGTATGTTTCTTTGCTCCCATCTTTAGCACTACTATTTCCTACCACTTGTTTCTCATCTTCTCCATAAGCAACCCTACAAATAGTTGATAATACATGCATGCTGTCTCCAGAGAAGGACAGCACATTCTTCATATTTCCAGCATTGCCCTCTGAGATTGCTCAATAATAAGATCCAAATAATCAGCCTAAATAGCTATATATAGAAGCTAACACCTGTCTCTTGTACGCTGTGCAAAGAATTCAATCAACGTTTTTTACTATTTCTGCACATCTATAGGGTGTAGATTTGGCGTTTTTTCGGTTAGCTGAGCTAGAAATTAACCATTACTGTTTTATTGTTATATAACATTGCTCTATATTTCTTGATCTCTCTCTAAACAAATATATCCTTAGCCCTACCTAGGGCAAGGTTCTGATCTACCTTCAGCTACCATTTTAATTCATTTCTCTTTTCCATCCTCGAAACCACTCCTCCTCAAAAGATGCCATTGTTTCGTTCTCAAAACGAAACAATGGCTGTTCATAATGAGTATTTCCAATAATTCTTTGTTCTATAGATAAAATTTTCATTCAAATATTAGTGATCCATATATACATATTATGGAAATGGAGAAGAAAGGGACAATCTTGATGCAAAAGTACGAGCTGGGAAGACTACTAGGTCAGGGTACTTTTGCTAAAGTGTACCATGCCCGAAACCTGAAAACCGGCCAGAACGTGGCCGTGAAGGTCATTGACAAAGAGAAGATCATGAGGGTCGGTTTGATTGATCAGATCAAGCGTGAAATCTCCGTGATGCGCCTGGTGAGACACCCTAACGTTGTCCAGCTCTACGAGGTCATGGCAAGCAAAACAAAGATATATTTCGCCATGGAATATGTCAAAGGTGGTGAGTTGTTCAACAAGGTAGCCAAGGGCAAGCTCAAGGAAGACGCGGCACGAAAGTACTTCCAACAATTGATTGCAGCCGTGGATTTCTGCCACAGCCGGGGTGTCTACCACCGCGATCTCAAGCCGGAGAACCTCCTCCTTGATGAACATGGGAACCTAAAAGTGTCCGATTTCGGGCTGAGTGCGTTGTTCGAGTCCAAAAGGCAAGACGGCCTCCTCCACACCACGTGTGGAACTCCGGCCTATGTTGCACCGGAAGTCATCAACAAGAAGGGGTACGACGGAGAGAAGGCCGATATATGGTCATGTGGGGCGGTGCTGTTTGTTCTCTTGGCGGGTTATCTTCCTTTTCATGACGCAAACCTCATGGAAATGTATAGGAAGATAAGCAAAGGTGAATTCAAATGCCCACAATGGTTTCATCCTGAGGTAAGAAAGCTTCTTTCCAAAATTCTTGATCCGAATCCGAGCACACGAATAACCCTAGTGAAGCTGATGGAGAATTCTTGGTTCAAGAAGGGATTAATCAAACAAGTAGTGGAAGATCATGAGTGTTGTAAAGACGAGGAAAACACGCCTCGTAGCCTTCTTGACATACATGAGGTTTTCGAATCATCGGTTAATTCCACTTCGTCTGGTAGTTCAGAGAAGAGAGAAGATGAAGCAAAGACGAGCTCAAATATGAAACCAACATGCATGAATGCATTTGATATCATATCTCTGTCGCAGGGATTCAATCTCTCGGGGTTGTTCGAGAAAGATACGAATCAGAGGTCGGAAGCAAGATTTACCACAAAAAAATCAGCTTCAGCAATTGTATCGAAATTGGAAGAGATCGCGACGATGGAGAGCTTTGAGGTGAAGAAGAAAGATGGGATGGTGAAGTTGAAAGGAAGCAAAGAAGGGAGGAAAGGGCAGCTAGCAATAAATGCAGAGATATTCGAGGTGACGCCGTCGTTTTACATGGTGGAGGTGAAGAAAGCGGCTGGGGACACAATGGAATATAGGAAGTTCTGTAACAAAGACTTGAAGCCTAACCTCAAGGACATTGTGTGGACTTGGCAAGGTTGTCATGATCAGCAACAACAACAACAACATTAAACACTTCATTTTCTGGCTTAATTGTTGTAGGAGTTGGTTTTTTTTCTACTACCAAGCCAATTCATGCATATATTCCGATATTTGGAAGCAGGTTAGGCTTCAAGGGGTGACCAGTGGAGAGAGCGAAGGGTAAAAAGAGCAACTAAAAAGTGCATACTAATAGCCTTTGAACAAGCTTGTTTTCTGCTGCATGCAATGTATATTTTTTCTTTTCTTTTCTTTTTTTTCCCACTCTCATTTTTGGTACCTTTAATTATATTCTTTTCAGTTTCTCGAAATGTAAAGTGTGTTTTTTTGAATAATAATATTCTAACCGACTTTTTAAACCGATTTGTTTAATGGATTAAATTTTTATTGTTTTGATATAAAATGGATAGATTGAAGCGTGAATCTCCTTCACTTTTTATTTTAGAGGAAGAGGAGATTATACTGTATATTGGACCACAGACAGTGGTGGTTGCCATTTTGTAATTTAACTATTCCCTTGGTTCTCACTTAACCTACGAATTTTTAATTACTTTTTCTTTGCATTTTGATATATAATTAGTTTGAATGTGCAGTTGTTCTACCGAAGCAACAGAACCCATCTCATCTAGGAAAAAAGATATTTCACTCGAGATTTGCAAGACATTGTACCACACAAGCTATACCTAGAACTGTACTTAAAACATTAATTGAGTTATATGTACAACGAAAGCCCATTAGCACGGGTGAAGATAATCTGCAACTTAAGTTGGTATGTGACATGGACAAAATTTGATATTATTCTTGACCACGCACGAGATACCTCTTTTGGGTAACGTTATTGTGGTATAAAACACAAAACTAAAAGTTAGTTGTGCGAAACACTTAAAAATGAGTTATATGTACAACAAAAGCCCATTAGCACGGGTGAAGATAATCTGCAACTTAAGTTGGTGTGTGACATGGACAAAATTTGATATTATTCTTGACCACGCACGAAATACTTCTTTGGGTGAGTTAGGATCCCCTCTTGTTTGGATGGTTTCTGCGCACCAAAACGTTGTTGTGGTACAAAACATAAAACTAAAAGCTAATTGTGCAAAACTCACTACGAGACCAGCATTGAGTTTCGTGACTATACGTCAAAATTACCTCGTTTGATGCACGGACCCTCCAATCCACTTTCTCTTTTGTGTATGAAATAGATTTTACTAAAATGCTGGTTTTGTTTAAGAAATGATTGTCAGAATTGGCTATAATTAACATGTCTGGGAGTATCTGGAAATTAATTAGGTATTGATACTTATATAGGCCTGAGCTTTGATAGGTAAGGTTGGGCCATGGTTCGCCTAATTGGACCAGAGCCCATCGAAATTGTTGGCTTCAGACTTTCTTAAATAAATATATTTGGCAATATATATATATATATATATATATATATATAAGTGTTCAAAGAGAGCCCATCAATTTTTTCAACATATTTAACAACATGAGTGTTCAACTTTCGCAACATTATTAACAACATGTGCTGCTCAACAATTCAACCCACTTTTGAAAGCCCAAGAGCAAGAAATGGGGGTCTTAAGTCCAGTGTTAATCGCTCTTGGGCTTCTTCAATAAAGTGAGAGAACAGTAGTGATTCACTATTGTACTCTTGTCACTATTATACTCTTGTCACATAAAAGCCTTACCCAACTACTTAAAGGTGTTGAATCATGTGGTTCATGAACCAGGCCACTATTGCTCTCCATATTCCAATTTGAGAAGTTTAGATATCGAAACATTTAGTACTATTCTTTCAATCATTTTTTAGTTGAAATAAAAAATTAAAATAAAACGATAATAAAAAGGAATTTTTTTTTTTTTTTCCTTGCTAAATTTGTGAAGTTATTAGAACATTAAGTGTAAGCCAACAACTTTTAAAGCAACCAGAAAACTGGTGAGTCCATGATAATGCCAATACTCTGTTTTTTGCAATTGCACATCTTGACTTTTGAATGTTGGCATAGTCCTACATAATGTCCCAAGTCCTAACTAAAAAAATAAAAATATAAGAATAATTACATTTATCTTTTTTATTGAACTCTTAAATAATAAGGAGCATCCTCTCTAATTTCAAAAATAACACTAACCTCCCTTTCGTTCAAATTTTTGGTCATAAAGCCTGACATTTGGGTCCACAAATGTCATACTTGAAATTTACTTAAAACTCAATTTGAAAAGACAGAATATAATACATATCTTGTCATGGTAAATATTATCATCATTTAACACATTCCATGTCAAAATCAAAACGGAAAGAGGACGTCAGTGTTATTTAGACATTCTTCAGGAGAGATAAATCTAATTTTTGAAACTAACTTGTTGTTTGTGTTTATGCTTTTGTGGGCCCTTATTTATTACAATAGCCGACAAAATATGATTAGACTGACCTCGAAAGGCCCAACACCACTACAAAATTTATAATTTTTAAAAAAAGTTATGATACTTATTAAATAAATAAGTGAATAAAAAAAGTGAATAATTTAATTTAAAGGTGAGCAAATAATTTGTTAATTCGATCTAAGCCAATTTGATGATTCAGTTTAATTTTCATCTCATGCTTGGTAATGATTTAGAAAAATAGCACTCTGTTGTTCGCGGTTCAGTTAACGGATTAAGCCTCAAAAAAAATTGATCTGATCTGTTACCTTAATTTTATATTAATATATATATACACTTATTGTATTTTTATATTTTTTTTATTCATTATTTAAGACTTTAATTTAACCCTAAAGTTACCAAAGTCATTATTACTTATTACAGGTTTTTAATTACTAATTTGAGATTTTAATAGGTCATAAAATGTATTCATATTGAGCTGTTTGAAAAGTTTAATATGTGAAAACCGAACTGATCCGATCTGTTATTTCATGGATCGATTTGATTCGGATTGAAGGTACCGGTTCGGTTTTAAATTTCATCAATCCGTGATAACCGAATTGAATTAAATTTTACCTACAAACCAAACCCAATCCGATCCGTGATCAATCCTAATTTAATTTGATTAAAACACTCAAAATTAATATTTAAAAAATAAAATAAAATAAAACAAACATTCCAGACTTTTATGATACTTAGAAAACTTCATAGTTTGAGCCAACCAAAACGAGCCGACAACTATCTCCGTATATAATACACCATGTATAGCTTTTCACCACTTGGCAGAGAGAGCTGATAAGTTAGTTAAACCACTTCTTTTGTTTGGAAAAGTTGATTTGGTGGAAATAAATTCTAAAAAAAGAACATGATATACATCAGTCCTCGTAGAAAATTATTATGTATTGACCATTGTATAAGTGACGACAAATGTGGACTAATTATACCATATTCCAACATTGAATATGGTATAATCTTTCTTGTTTTTTTGTTTCTTTAGGGTCTATTCTTGTGCCTTTCGACAAAAAATAAAAAAAATAACTATAATTTTGGACTGTCTGGAATCCAAATTCGATGTATTAGAAGACTCCTTTAAATTCTTTCATTTGTAAACTAAACCATACAAGTGTTTGGAATGCTTTTTGAAAAATTATACTACATAGAATTAACTAAAATAGAAACTTCATGAATAAAAAGAAGTGCAAAATTGATTATGACCAATTGTGACTCTTTCAACCTAGCAATAATTAGATAATTATGACCAAAATTAAAGAATATTATTTTAAAGTGATCTTAAAATTATAAAAAGATAGATAATTATCTAAACCTACATTATGGTAATTTTTATACTTATTTCAAAGTTAAAGGTAGATGATTCGAGTCTATTCTTGTGAGAGTTATATGATCAAAAAAAAATTAAAAAGAAAACTGATAAAAAAGAAAAAAGAAAAAAGAAAAAAGTTCTTTATTGACCATTTGGGAGTAATCTTGTTTAAGACTTTTATTTGCTTACTAAAAGTAATTAAATCTCTTTCCTCATCCCAAAATTAAAGAATATTATTTTAAAGTGATCTTAAAATTATAAAAAGATAGATAATTATCTAGACCTACATTATGGTAATTTTTATACTTATTTCAAAGTTAAAGGTAGATGATTCGAGTCTATTCTTGTGAGAGTTATATGATCAAAAAAAAATTAAAAAGAAAACTGATAAAAAAGAAAAAAGAAAAAAGAAAAAAGTTCTTTATTGACCATTTGGGAGTAATCTTGTTTAAGACTTTTATTTGCTTACTAAAAGTAATTAAATCTCTTTCCTCATCCCAAAATTAAAGAATATTATTTTAAAGTGATCTTAAAATTATAAAAAGATAGATAATTATCTAGACCTATATTATGGTAATTTTTATACTTATTTCAAAGTTAAAGGTAGATGATTCGAGTCTATTCTTGTGAGAGTTATATGATCAAAAAAAAATTAAAAAGAAAACTGATAAAAAAGAAAAAAGAAAAAAGAAAAAAGTTCTTTATTGACCATTTGGGAGTAATCTTGTTTAAGACTTTTATTTGCTTACTAAAAGTAATTAAATCTCTTTCCTCATCCCAAAACATTTCTTCTGCATCACCAAGTCGGTTGAGATCATACTCTGTGAAATTAATTGACACCATTGCTTTCAGTTTTAATGATTACTTTTTCACTTTTTCACGGAAATATCTGAGTTTTATGCCAAAGCAATATAATGGGATTAAGTTCTTTTTGACAATTTTAATGATTACTTTTTCACTTTTTCACGAAAATATCACTGAGTTATTGAAGTATCTTATTTTATACCTAAGCAATAAAATGGGATTAAGTTCCTTAAAACTAGGAATGGCAATTTTCTTTGACCCCTCGAGTTCGGTCTCGTCCTGTCTGCTTATAATGGAATAAATTTAATAAATGGATTTAGAATGAATATAATAAAATAACTATTTGAATCCTACCATCTTATTGGAATTATTTTCTCTTAAATGCAATGGCCTTGTCAACTTTGCCAAACTATCATCCCTAGAATTATAATAATTGGATTCTAAATTTAAGAAAGATTTATAGGCCTTTCTTAAACTACAGATTTTGGAGTTCTGGAGCACTGATATTTGCTAGAATTTGGAGATTTCATAGTAGTTTTTACATACTCTATATTTGTGGATTAAAAATGTTTTTCTGAGAATAACTAATAACAATATTAGCGTGTGATTTATGAAACGGAGCTCTTTTCTCTGATTTTTGTAACTGAAATCTAATTTTCCCTGATGCTTTATTTGGTAGAAAGAAAGGAAAAAGGGGTGGAGGGATGATAAGAAAAAAGAAACAATATTGTAAAAGTTTTAAAACTTTATTTATAATTAGAACACTATCTTCTCTTCTCTTATAACAAACAAAATAAATATATTATCTAATTCTCTTCTATTCCATCCAACCAAATAAAAAGGGGGAAGAACGCAATCTCTTCTTTACAGATGTCTTATTCATTTAGAGTCTGTGATACTTAGGCAAAAAACTTACACCGATTTGTTAGACAGAATCTATGTAACACAAAAAGACAAATAATATTTAGCAATGGGTCATGCTGACTCATTACAAAGTATTGAACTTCTAATTTTATTTCCGATCCCTATTATTCGTCTTCTATTAAAATTTTAATTCCTTCTTTAATTATCTCTATTTTCTTTTCTATAAATATCTCTGCACTAACAATTTGCCTTCTATTAGGAATTTAGTTCCTTCTTTAATTATCTCCTATTTTTTCTCCATAAATATTTTCGATCTCTATTTTGTCCGTGTAGACTTGAGAAAGGTAAAAAATAAAAAATAAAAAATAGATTATGGGTTTGATTAGTTTAATTAATCGTAAAATAAGAAACGATACCAAGAAGCAAAGGTAATACAAATATATGGAGACATTTATGACTTCATTAACATTCATTCTCTATAATACGTGCAATTTAATTTTATTAAGATAACTTTATCATAAAGAATTGGACGAATTGCAAAAAACCCCCCTTGACTTTTATTCGTTTGCAAAAAACCCATTATGAATATCTTTAACAATTAACCCCCTCAACTATCACAAGAAGGTCATTTTAACTAGCCTTTATTAGAGTGATTGTGTGAGAAAAATTTTCAAACAAAATTACCCTGAAACATCAGTTTGAGTGATTGTGTCATAAAATTTTTGGATGAAATTATTCTTAAAATCAAAACAATATATTAGTATTACTAAAATACCCACCACTCACTTTTTTTTTTTTTTAACTGCATAAAACACTAAAATGAGGCCTCTGATTTTGAAACGAGGCTTTTGATTTTTTCTTTCAAAATGTTCTTTCATTTAGAATATATATAGTAATATGGTAGTTATTTATCAAACGTCAACTTAAATTGATTTTGGTGGAAGAAAAAAAAAACACCCTTGTACCATGATTTTTTATAAAATAAGATAAAGAAAGAGATATATATGAGAGATCCAAAAAGATTAGTACAATGATTTTTTATAAAATTATAAAGTAGGAAAGTATTGGGATTAAGATTTATAATGTTGAAATAAATCAAATTTTATGTCATAATAAAGGCTTTTTCTACATAATAAATAAATAATTAAAGATAGTCCAAACAAATATTTGTTATTTAAGTGAAATATCTTTTGACTATAAAAAAATAAAAAATAAAAAAACAAGTGTGAAATATGTTTTGGGGGTGGGGGAGGAGGGTTTTGTTTTAATATTATGGTGGACGTCGTTGGATTTTTTTTTTGGTACGCTATATCCATAATTTTTTAGAATCTTATAAATTTTTATTTTATAATTTTATAAAAAATCATGGTACTGATTTTTTTTAGATCTCTTTCTTTATCTTATTTTATAAAAAATATGGTACAAGTTTTTTTTTTTCCACCAAAATCAATAACTACCATATTACTATATATATTCCAAATGCATGAATATTTCAAAAGAAAAAATCAAAGGCCTTGTTTCATAATAAGAGGCCTTGTTTTAGTGTTTTATGCAATTAAAATAATAAAAATAAAGTGGGTGGTGGGTATTTTAATAATACTAATGTATTGTTTGATTTTAAAAGTAATTTCGTCCGAAAATTTTATCACACAATCACTCGGTTAGTTAAAATGACCCCTTCATGATAGATGATAGATAGTTGAGGGGATTAATTGTTAAAGATATTCATAAGGGGAGGTTTTTTGAAAACGGGTGAAAGTCAAGAGGTTTTTTTTGCAATTCGTCCTAAAAAATTACATAAAGAATCTCAACAATTACTTTGGACTCCATTAACATCATTTCCTGCAATACAATTTGATTTTATTGTATTAAATCTCTGCAATTATACGAAGGTATCTAATTGTGTGCAATTATACCTTGTTGTGCAAGGAAAATGGATGAGAGTGAAGATAAGAAAAGATAGTAAAAAAATAGAAGAGAGAGAAACTTAATAGTTATTGTGACATGATATTTTCACATAGACAACACATGAATTAGGTCAGAGAAATCAATTTTTCTCTCAATTCTATCTAATTTTCTTCATTTCTACCAAATTGAGCATGATGCTATGTTTAGTGGCGACTTAAATTTGGAAATAGAGAAAAATTAATACAAAATTTGTACTAAATTTTTTGCAATCCTAAATTCGGGACACTAATTTGATGTTAGCAAATAAAACATGTAATTGATGTTAATTGATGTTTCTTGTCAAATAGAAAATTTCTTAATTTGCATAACTCTTGTACACTAAAAATAATAAACCAAAATTATCTTAAATACTCAAAAAAAATAAAATAGTAATAATAATAAATCATAAGTAACTTGTACTTGGTTATGTTAAAACAATGATTTTGATTATTGTAGGTGGTGGAAATGGAACCCCACCACCCACTCCACACATTAGTACCTTACTACTACTACCATAGAGTACATCACGAACGACACACCGAAGTTGACTTGTCTTTTTCATTACGCCATTGAAATTTTTACTTTCCAAAACTCCACCTACCAATGCAAGTGGGGCCTCTTTGAGGTACAAGAAAAAGACACTTTAATATAGTAATAATGTGACTTTAAAAATACATTTTAAAGGACATCGAAACATGGTGGTGTACCTTTCTTATCAAATCACACAAGAAATTCAGATATTGAACTGTTAAACCCTCTTTAAAAATGAGCTAATATCGTTAGGCCTTGGTAGATATATATACATATATTTTTTCTTTCTTATTTCTTTAATTCAAATATATATATATATATATATATATATATATATATATATATAAACAAACAAACAAGTGTCATGAACAATTTCCTTTCTCTCCTCAACTTAAGTTTTAAGATGAAGTTGTGCTTTATGACTTTTTTATAAAGTTCATACTTGATAATTCCTGATGATAAGCTCGTGACTGATATTTCCTGATTAATCATCTCTTATAAAAAAAATTTATTTTTTATTAATAGTTTAATGCATTAAAAATATCAAGCCGACTAAGTATTTGTCATTCATGGTAAAAAAATAGTTTGTTGTCATTATCAAATATTAAAGTATTGAATAGCTTCTCTCATTAAGTAATGATATACGGACAGATTTTGTAGATTAATTTACCAAAACTAGCTACTGGATTAGTGAAACTCGTATGTGGAGCCCACTCATTTTGCAGTTGTCATTTGCCGATTTAAAAAATGGCTCAAATCTAAGGAAAAAAATAAGATATTTTGCAACCAAGGCATGTGTGTGTGTGTGTATATATATATATATATATATATATATATTTTTTTTTTCTTACATTTGATATGTGATTATTTATACAAAAATTTTAAATTATTTATTTTTATTTTTAATTATTACTGTAGGGCTAATTTGTTAATGGAATGAAAAAGAGCATATAAAAAAATTTTGTAAACCAAACAACAGTTTTACATATTGGTACACATTGGTGAAAAAAAAAAAAATACACATCATAGGTAACTTGTTTAGTATAGTATATTTTATACAAAACAAAAAAAGAAAAAGAAAAGGTGTTCTAACATACTGGATATGTTCTAACTAAATTGGAACCACATAATGCACTCAGATCTCACTAGAAAGCATTCAATCATTGTAATATATCTGTTTTTGGAATGTATTCGGATTCTAGTTTTGAAAAGTTACTTATTTAGTACGTCTATATATCAGATCCCGAATTCTCCTGGTTTTATTACGGGTCTACTTTACCTCGGCCTTATGTAACAACTACATTACATCCTTGATATTTCATAGTATTACAACAACGCTGCACTACTAACTATACAAGACACGTAATTCCCTCCTATCCGAATTGCTGTATACCATTACTAAAAAGTCATAAAATAATTAGGGCATTTTACTTCAACCATTCCTGCACTGGGCTTAGCCACATTGTAAACTGAATTCCAAATGAGGTACATTATTGCTCCGAAGACGGAAGACAGGAGACAGATAAGGTAGATTTGAAAGAAAAAGTAATGTCGTACATTTCTCTTTAAGATAAGAAACTATCTTACATATGTGGTACAGATTTTGTTATGTGATTCCACAAACACACCGATAGGGCCCCGACTCTGAGCGTGTCATATACGTGTACCTGGTGCAGCTACTGCAATTGTTGAGAGCAAGTTGTTCGCATTTTGGTCAGATCGCCACTGGGACAAGGTGGGACTTTGCCTCCATTAGTGAGAAGCTAATGTTTTCAAACCGAACCTGAACAAAGGACAACTAGGATGAGAGGGATGCCCACAATTATTAGGGTCTTTCAAGACCACCCAACTTCAGTTTTTAGCAAGCATTACGAGCAAATGATAAGAAATAGCCAAATTTGTACATAATTAGCATTGTGGCTCGCATGTGCACCATGTGTGATTGTTTCCATAGTCCATGTCGAATGGTTTTTGTCTATGTCCATCAACTAAAAAGACAGGATACTACGGAACATTTCATTTACATAATGAAATCCATATGCTCCTATTATTAACCAAGAAAATATGCAACTCCGATTAGTCTTTCCCATATCTCCTTTGCACAATCTGCCATTCTGCCGATTATTTTAATCATATTTAGAGGGAAGTTAACACAAGAATATAAAAAACTCACTAATTCAATATTTGCCGAATCCCATTGCAATAATACTCAAATATGTTTTATCAAAACCAAGTTCTTAACAAGGCAGAAAATTACTTGTTTTATCAAAACCAAGTTCAAGGAGAAAAAAGAACCAATGAGGCAGAAAATTTTTCCCCATATGTACACACGTGTCATGAAATCCACCAGCAAGGCATTTGTAGGACAGAAGCTCTGCTTTTTAATGCGTTCTTCTGTATTTAGAAATCAATCATATTTCAATGCTTCATATCACCATCAACAACTGCTATTAATTTTTTTTTTCATCAATATTAGCTTTCATAAATTTACCCCAACTTCTTAAGTTGCTTGAAAAACTAGGATCAAAGAAAAGAGAGAACGAAAAACTGAAGCTGTTGAACCAGTAATCCAAATACGAAAAACTGAATACCAAAGAATTCTCCAGAATTGCAAAACCGACAAAAACAAAAATTTAGTTAGTTCTGTATTGACAAGAATTCTGAATCAACTGTTTAACATGCATAAGACTATTGCTGATTTTATATTGTCCTCACTCCTACCTACCATCCTAACCACCTCTTGAGTGAGGCATTGCCAGATGTAATATTAAAAAAGTATAGCCCTAAACTACCAGTCATATTAACAAACAAAGTAGAAAGAGAAACAACAATTGGAGATAGAGCATGCTCCAACAGAAATTTGACCAGTGTACAAGGTCTGAAGCTAAAAAGGTTTGATCAGTTTTTATAGGTAAAAAAGGATAGACATATTTACCCTGTATGATCATAGTATAAGTTTTGTGATGCAGACAACAAAAAACCCAAATATTTATGCTGTAGCATGTATCTTTGGTAAGAGACTAGAACAGTACTTGAAGCAGCGAATATATATTAATTATGACACGAACATCATTTATTTATTTGTCATTATAGATTCATGGGGAGAAAACAATCACCCTCCAGGAAACATGGATATATAATCATCTATTCCATTCTCTATAACCTGACCTCCTAAAGTCCTAAGTAAATTTTAAGTGCATAAAAGACCTAGTAACATCGAGAATTCCACCTACCCAACCAAGGTTTTATCTTTGTTTAGGACCTTTCTTGAGTTCTTCTTCAACTCCATTGGTCAAGTGTTTATTCAGATATCCTAAATCCTCCTCTAAATTGTGGTTTCTCTATTTCAATTGAACAAAGTTGTGACAGACCCCTATGCAGAAATTGCAAGAAACAGCAAGTTTACAGACAAAGGAATTTCTCACAATTGCAAAATCAACAATAACATGCTTATTTATGTAAGGAGTTGATTTAAAATTGCCTACAACTCTTGTTCAAACTTTTTAGTTCCCATCAGACTAAGGCTATTTCTATGTCAGTACAACCAAAATCCCAACAACCTTTTTTATACTAGAGTAATGTTGGAGAATCAAACAAATCATCATTATTTATGAAATTTTCATTAACAATTTGTAACTAGAAGTTCTGCTCCTCTGTGCAACATTATTGGAAGATTCCAAGACAGGCACAGCCAAAACATGTGCTAAAAATTAAATTCCCAAATATGAAATTGCACAGTACAGAAGATACAAATTTTGACATTCCTAAAAGTTGCTTCACTCTTCTCATCATAGTTAAATGTTCGTATAAAATATGTAGGGTGCGTAATCCGCAAGAGACACAGATGAGTAAATCAATTCGCAAGAGACACAGATGAGTAAATCAATTCGGAACTCGAGAAGAAAATAAAAACTTCACATCCTCATTATTCAATAAAATGCATGGTGGGGAAAATTCAGACACCACCCAAGCAGCTACGATAGATATACAATGGTGTATTTCATTTTCTTTAGTTTAACATTGTAAAACATGACTAGAATACAGATAAGATGAAGCAAATTCTAAAAGTTTAATCTAGCACAACAAAAGAAAGTTGAGCAAACAAACCATTATCATACCGAAGCTGTGGCAAAGGAGAGAGATAGAGAGTGGGCATACCCTTTTCTCTCCTTTCTGTCTTCATTCAGTATCCGAAGGCAAAATAGAAGGAGCTGCAATCTCTTCCAGCATGAGATATTCAGCATCCAAAGGCAAATTAGAAGGAGCTGCAATCTCTTCCAGCATGAGATTTTCCAACCCGGGCTTCAATTCTCGATTGCAAAACTCCTCATACTCTCCTTTATCCCCTCCTTTCTTCTTCACCTCCACCACCACCAAAGACGGCGTCAATTCGAATATCTCCGCCGCAATTGTCAACGGCCCCTTCACTCCCTCCCTTGACCCCTCCAAACTCACCCTGCAATCCTTCTTCCTCACTGAAAAACTAACCACCTTCGCAATCTCCTCCAATTTGGATATGATCTTCGACACCGGCGCCCCAGACACAAACCTCGCATCATCTCCGCCCTCCTCAAACAACCCAGACAAATCAAATCCAGGCGAAAACGATATAATATCAAATGCATTCAAGCTCGCAGGTCTCGGCAAATGCCCAATTCTCCTCCGGCTCTCCATTTCCGACTCAGATTCAGACAAATCGGAAGAAGACTCCATACCATCATCAACGTCGTCAGGAACACTACATAACCTATCATCCTCAATATAGAACTTTATATGCTTAAACCCTTTCTTAAACCATTTCTTGTTCATAATCTCCGGAATTGTGATCCGAGTCTCCGGATTGGTATCAAGAAGATGAGTTAATAGCCGACTAAGCTCCGGCGAAAACCACCTAGGGCATCGAAATTCGCCTTTATATATCTTCTTATACATTTGCATGATGTTCTGGTCATGAAATGGTAAATATCCAGCCATCAACACAAAGAGGATGACTCCACAGGACCAAATATCGACCTTGGCCGCATCGTACCCCTTCCTCGCCAAGACCTCCGGCGCCACGTACGCCGGCGTTCCGCAGAAGGTGTGGAAGAGTCCGTCCTGCCGAATCTGATCCGACACGGCGCTGAGTCCGAAATCCGAGACCTTGAGGTCTCCGTTATCGTCTAACAATAAATTTTCAGGCTTGAGGTCTCGGTGGTACACGCCTCGCGCGTGGCAAAATCCGACGGCGGAAATCAGCTGCTGGAAGTACTTTCTTGCGACTTCCTCCTTCAACCGACCTTTGGCGACCTTGTTGAAGAGCTCACCGCCTCTGACGAACTCCATTACAAAGTAGATTTTTGTCTTCGTGGCCATTACTTCAAACAATTGGACGATGTTCGGATGGCGAACGCGGCGGAGGATCGAGATCTCGCGCTTGATGTGCGCAATTAGACCGCCTTTGAGGATTTTCTCTTTGTCGATGACTTTGATGGCAACACTTTCGTTCGTTTTGATGTTCCGAGCATGGTAGACCTTCGCGAAGGTACCATGGCCGAGGAGCTTTCCGATCTCGTATCGGCCTAGAAGGAGCCCCTGGCTCTCCTTCTTCGATTTCACGGAGGAGGAGGTGGTAGCCGCCGCGGTGGTGTTGTTTGCCATTTGATGAATTGAATTCGAATTCAAACACTAGTTTTTGTGTTGTAGTGTTTGTTTCGCCATTGAAGGTCTAGTTTTTGAGTTTTGTTTATGTCTGCTTTTGGAACGTGAGTTGTGTAAAACGGTAAAGTGTAATTATTAGGTTTTTGGTGGCTTTTATAGGGGGGAGATGACGGATGGTTGACGGCAAATTATGCTTGTCAGCCCTCTAGCTTAGGGTTTATCACACTTACATCTCAAACATTTTGAATAATTATAACTACCTCCATTCTAGTTAGATATATGTAACAATTCGACTCCTGCCGGGAACCAGCGTCAACGCTGATTTAGAAAAATTTTAAATTTATTTTAAAATATGTCTTCAAATTATAATTTTGTTCAATGATTGTTGTGCAGACAGACATTAATATTCCAAATTTACTGCATTTGTGGCACATTGAAAGTTAAAAAAAAAAAAAAAAGTCAAAATTTACTTGTGCGCAGTGGTAGTAAAAAAATATATGATAATACGTGAATTAATTGATGTTATGACTCTAAATTGGATTAAATGAAAATATATGTTTTATATAGTTGACCCAAGTAATTGAAGAAATGTTTGATTGATTTTGTTACAGGGATATAATTGTGTTTTTATTCAAACTATGAACAAAATGTGTTGCCCAAAAGTGTTTTCACATTCATTTGAATGACATAGCTCGGCATGTAATATGTTTTAGGTGAGTCTGATATGTTTTGTCAATATCAAAACAACTGTTCTATTGCAAGAGTCAAAAATTTGCTTTAGTTCTTTTACTAAAAGCTTAAAATACCAAAATACAATTGGTGATATGGGTTTTAACAAAAAAAAAAATTTAATATATTATGAACTATTTCAAATCAATATTAACAATTTAAATATGATCCAAAATTTGAATCCCAATATCAAGACAAATAATATCATAACACTTCCCAAAATGACGTAGTGACTTAGGGACTAAATTCCACAGGTTACCAAATTCAATGTATTTGAAAGGAATAGTGAGTCTCACTCTTATCACATGATGCCACAACTAAATCATATATTAAGACTCACTATAAATATATATATATATATATATATATATATATATATATATAAAGGAGTAGAAGGGAAAAAAATTAGAAAAAGGAAAGAAAAAAAAAAAAAAAAGTACCCAAAATCACAACTTAAAATGGAAAAAAATTAAAATTTATTTTTTTATTAAAAAATTAAAGAATAAATAACGAAAAAACAAAAAAAAACTACCGTATATATAAATAGTTGACAGGGCAGGCTAGGCCGGTGCCTGTGCACCAGCTCCGTCTTTGATTATAAACATATTTTTATTCTAAGAAGTCATCAGAAAAAGATAAATAAATAAAAATAAAAATTGTTGCATAAGTGTTGACCATTATAGTAAAAACCAATGATAGAGTCGGTCTGTTGTATATGCCCAACTAGAACAAAGGTAATTATAATTATTCAAAATATAGAGAAAAAAAGTGTAATAAATTTTAATTAAAAGAAACTTTGATTTTCGCCGTTTGACAGCTGTACGAGGTGAGCACCGATGATTACAACGGCTATATATTACCAAAAAATGATGATTCCGCTGTGAATGAAACCATACTTGCTATTTCTTCGGACGAATAGTCGTATAAGACAACCCTACTGTCACGTGCTTGTCACGTTAACTGAACGTGGCGAGGTGTTATTGGTTGGTTGTATGTGGTAGTTTGAGGGGCTTGTACAGCTGAAGCGAGAAAAAGAGGGAAGGCTGAATTTGGTAAGGTCTTTGGTAGTGTGGACAATAATTGCCAACAACCAATCAAGTCACTTGATGCCGACTACGTGGCTAATACTTAATGTGGCAACGTGTAACGGGTGGGCGCTTATCCATTTATCCAAAAACTCGAACTGTTGGGTAGTGTTGTATATCCACCCATTTATACTCATGTCACTTTCCATCCGGATCCGATGTGGGACAAGTTTCTCCTTGTAATATTTTCCCCCACCCGAACTCGCAACGCCCTCGTTGCGGTCGGGTCACCCTGTCTACCCGGAGTGGCACACCCGAATGCCTTCCGAACCGGGCGCTTGGCGTGGCACCAGATTAAGGACTGGGCCTGGCTCCGATACCAACTATAACGGGTGGGCGCTTGTCCATTTACCCAAAAGCTTAAACTATTGGGTAGTGCTACTTACCCACCCATTTATACCCATATCACTTTCCATTCGGATCCGATATGAGACAAGTTTCCCCTTGTAACACAACGTGTATACTCGCGCCCCTACAAATAGATTTCCACGTGCTTAGTTTTCCATTTCACCTTCCTCTTATGGATAAGTTCTGTCTTCTCCATTTCACTACAATCCATGCTTCTTCATATTTCTGCACCTCCCGACAGAATTCCGCAATTATTGCAGATTTAACACAAATAAAACAAAAACAAAATAAAAAAACGTGTTAATTGTTTGATATAAATGAATGACTTGACACCTTCAATTTATTAGTTATTATTTTACGAATATAATTTTTTTTTTTTTTTTTTTTTTTAACATTTATAATAACTCTGATTAACAATGGACCAAACATTTGGCGTATTTACATAATTGCAAGACTAGCAATTGCATTACAAATTTACAAGAACTTTCATAATTTTACTGATTTTAATGTAAAAGTTGTAAGGGAGTTTATTTGAAATCAAAATTGAAATTATTTACATTTAATTTTAATTCAAAATTGACTGATCACTTAATAGTTCAAACTTAATTGCATGTATATAAGTAAGTAAATGGGTCATTCCAACTCATTAACGCGAACACATTGTTTTGATTTTTATGATATATTGGAGTAATATTTTTTAGTAAAAATTATCCTATTTTTACTAATTTAATTATCAATAAGTGGGTCAACCTTTTCAATTTTTATTTTTTTTTAAAAAAAGAAAGTTTATAAGGATATTGTTCACTCACTAAAAACTTATAATTTGAATCAAATTTATAACTCGCTTGTGTAATTTTAAATAAAATATTTATATTTGTGATTGAATATAATGAACTAAAAAATGAATATTTGATATTAAAAATTATAATTTAGTGATATTTTTTTGTTTTTTGAAATAAAAATTAAATTTTTATAAGAATAAAAATAGATGTGTGTGAATTTAGTATAAAAAAAAACTAAAGAATTAGTTCAACATTTGATACGTGAGTTGAATAATTTGTACAGAAACAAATAGCACCGTTTAAATTCAAAGAGTTATCCAAACATGTCAGTCCATCAGACATGGCGGTCGTCATCTTCTACGACTTTGTGACCCTAGGAAAACTAGGGACTGAGATATGGGCTATTGTTATAGGGCGGTTTTGAGTTAGATTAGATCAAATTTACCAGTTTTGTTGGAGATGGACCGACAAGTCAACCCAATTGTCGGTCCTGATTTGAAGACACGTAATCCTTAAAAACACTATATAAGCAAATTTATAACTTACGCTCCTCCTATTTTCGATTTTTGCACTCCACGTTGAAGTAGGAAAGTCCGAAAGTGCTAACTCGTTTTGAGTGCTTGTATTAAAAAGCGAGTGTCATTAACCTCGTTGACAATCAAAGTTCTGTTTGGCTTCCACGTATTGTTCACCTTACGTTTACGTCTACAGTGCATCCCATGCGTAGAAAAGTTTATGTTTATCATTTATATTGACAACTTAACAAATAAACTATGTAATAAGATAAGATGGGTTCACTTTTTTGGTGTCATTTAATGTGTGATAAAAATGGGAAGGCTGTTTGGCACAAATTTGTCAATACTAAATACAAATGTTGCTTCAAAAATGTGTGTGTTATATATCATGACCAAGTGGCCCAAGTTCTAGTCCCATCCTTGGTTTTAATCATACAAATGAGACATTCTGTCAATTTCCCTTCAATGGAAGACAAAATGTCTAAAATATTTTCACCATGCTTATTCAATTATTATCGTTTCAAGTCCTTAACACTTGAGCGATGTTAACACCCAGTCTTTTTAGTTTCGCTTTCTGTGTATTTGTATTTTTATTCTATATGTTCAATTTTAACACTGTTTCAAATATGGTCGATCTTAATCGCTCTCTCAGTGATCATTTTTTATTATCTCTGCGTTTGATCTGTTATTCATTTTCACTCTCTCTCGCTCTCTTTGTTCAATCTCAATCATTCTTGAAGTTCAAAGAAGATCGATTTGAAGATATAACAATGATATTTTGAATATTTGAACATCCATTTGATGATTCCAAGTAAGTTTTTTTTTTTTTTTTCAAACTTTGGTTAAATAGGACTTTTTATTTGTATGTTTGTTTATGCATGCAATGGGTCGTTACGGTTGAGGTCAGTTTTCTTATAATTAGGGTTTTGTTTTGCTTTAAGATATTGTAGTTAGAGAACTTTAAGAATGCTATAAAGAGAGAAAATGAATATCGGTAGAGAGAGAGAGAAAAATACGAGCATTTAAATGTGGCACAGGAGTGCCAAAACGGGTATTAACGGATAATTTGTAACTAACATATATATAACTTTTTTTCCAAGACAATAAGTATTAGAAGTTAGATTAACAAATGCATAGAGTCGAAACCCATATATATATACATACATATATATAATTCACTGGACTATCAAAACATTTGCGACACACACACACATATATATTATACACATATATTACACGCATTTCTCAAATTTTTAAGGATTATATGCACATGCTAAAATAACATGGGTGATTAGTTCACAATTTTTATATAGTGGCAGAGTTTTTTATACTTTATACAAAATTAAGATCTAAGTAGTTTATACAAAAAGAAATAGAAATTTTACCGCATTTTAGTGATCTCGTTCACTTCTATATATATACTAGATAAACAAAATTTTCAAACTGATAATTTGTACTAAATGGAATCTTCTCAAAAAAAAAAAACAATCAAATTGAAATCTTAAAATTTGTGGCTTTAAGAAAAATAAAAAACGAGGACATAGGAAGAAATATAATGAATGAATTTCCTTTTATGTGATCCCACTCAAAATAAAACTTCAATACTAAAAAAATATTGTATTTCTGGTGAATAAAATAAAAATTACAAAGAGAGTAACCTATATTAGTCTCTAGTGGGATTCGGGTATGTTGCCTAATATGACAAAATCTGCATATATAATCAGGCCAGATTAGGCTACCTGAATCCCTATCAAGAGGTTCGACCCAAGTGCGTATTTCACATAATTCGGAATTGTCCCTATCATCATTTTCAACCCCACGGAGGAATTTTTCTGGTTGCACAATCAAGCTCTGGACCTATGGGCTTGTCTAAACCTAATTTATCCGATGGCCAAAAGCCAAACCTGTGGAAATTGGGCTGTACAAGAACTCCCCAAGCCGAAAGCCCATAATAGTGACGAATGTTCAAACCAAAAGAGTGGATCTTCAAAAGAGTGGATCTTCAAAATTGTTTTTTGGGTCCTTTAGGTCCCGTTTGGCGTGCGCTTTGTTTTAGGCATTTTATTTTTGGTTAAAACAAATAGGAGTGTTTTGTAAAAAAATAGAAACATGTTTGGTAATTATGTTTTGCTGTGAAAATGTCGGAAACAAAAACATACAAACACATACATGTTTGGTAGGTCATGTGTTTCAAGAATTTTGAAAACAAAACATATTTGGTTACTCTAGCTGTTGCCAAAAAAAAAAAAAAAATGTTGCCAAAAAAAAATGAAGATAGAAACAAAAAAACTTGTTTTGGTTATCATTGTTTTTAATTTGTTTTTATAAATTTTAAATATATTTATCAATTTATTTCTATATAAATGGTCATCACATTTTTAATAGATACGGTGAAATTTGAACACACAAATATATATATAAAATATATATATATATATATATATATATTGGCCTATAACAGGTCTCTTTACTGTACTACATGAGAGTCAACATTTGTAACTTTTTTCGTCCCAACTTAAACTGAATGTCACATTTTATGAAATGGTAAATTTATGTAAAAAGTCATTAAATTTTATAATTTATTTACAAAAATGTCTAGAAAGTACATTTTAATAATTCAAATATTATCAATATTTTTGTTATATATAACTATATAATAAGTAGCTATAAAAGCCCTAAATTTTTTTTGCAATAACTCATTTACAAGTTGTTTGTAATAACCTGCTTCAATTTTATTATCATGTTACGTATATAGTCCAACACAACATTCAAAATAAAAACAAGCCCACTAAAAGCAAAATTGAAATAGACGGTATACCATTTACAAGTGCTTAAATATTCAACTAACAAATTAAACAAGTTTATGTTCTACATAAAATGTTTGGAACAAAGCATTAACAATACATAGTTGTCACTAAAAATTAATAATATGATCATAAAGTAGATGACAACGGCAACGACGTATCATCTTCATAACAACACACATCACCTTCAAGAAAGCATCAACACACCTTATATCTGCAATGGTAGCATTTAAGTTAAAATATATTAACAATAATATCAACCAGTAATAGTAACAACAAAATAGCAGACAGTAATAGTAATAACAAAAATGATATAGCTTACATATATATATTACAAGCCTACAATAACAACAAATATATTACTTATAAAAGAAAAAATATATCATCACTTCCAGGAGGATGAAGTGTACCAAAAAAGAATTCCAGATTCGATTAACTATAGTATTACGCAATTGATTCATTTCTCGAAGCTGAGCCGGAGGCACATGTTCAACAATCTCTTCGTCTTCACCATCATCACTTTGAGGAGAATCGTCACCATCAAATAAATCATTGGGCAGATGCTGATTTCTAACAAAGTTGGGTTTTGTCAAATTTTCTTCCTGTTTGAATTTTCATTTCTTTTACCATATTATTCCAACCATTTATATTAAATGTTGTGGCAGTACGATTACCAGCCTTAACTCGTTTTTCTATAATATTCATGAATTTTTCAATGAGTGAATCATCCTATAACAATTTTTCATCCTTTGTAACTTCAGTCACCCGGTCTCCTTCAATTGTGAAAGAATCACCACATTGTTCCACATTCTCAACATTCACATCCATCTAACAAATTAATAACAATATTATAATTAATAACAACAAAAATAATATATATTAAGAGCACAATTTAAATAGAGTGTTTTAAGGATCTAAATTGGATAAATACTAGTATCTCCGTACACATACAATTACATGTTACAACAAACAGGGGATACAGATTTGCCTAAGTACACATCAAATTTCCTTTATTTTCTAGTATTGTTTAAAATGCATGCCTTACTGTACTAGACCTATATATGATTTACCGTAAAGTTTTCTTCAGTTACTCATTTTGTTAATGGATTTACTAATTCAATCATACATTAATTGAGGAAACTTTTCAACAAGGAATGAAGACATGTTTTTTGTTCTCCAAAATGAAGAAATGAAATACACGGAGAATATACATTAGACCAAATATTATTTTAAAAATTGAATAATGAAATGTAAATTTTTTATATATATATATATATATATATATATATATATATATATACACACTCCGTATATATAAGTAGGAATATAATGAAGAATGACCGTCAATATATACTAAAAAGTGAACACTTTTGTTAGAGAAAAATGTCAAAACATGATGCAATAGTTGAAAAATGGCTTCATTAATTTGAGTTTTTTCCAAAGCTACTAAAAGTGCCCTCCCTCTCTCTCTCTATAGAAAATTAAGAATAATGTGAAATGCATCTTCAAAATAAAAGTTCCATGGTCTTTGTTTCTAAAATTTTTATGAAAAATCACAAACTAAATAAATAAATAAATAAAAAAGGAAAAAATCACACAACCCCTCAATAAATAGAGGATATAGAATGGAGAATACATCACTAGAAGATATGCGTGTGTATGTGCGAAGCATTGTCTTTGTTTCATTTAATAGAAAACAGATTATCAATACTATCATAAAATGATCAAATTGACCTGCTCAAGTCAATCTGAGTCGTGGAAGTAATTTTTATTAGCAACCAAGAATATAAATAAATAAATACATAGATTTGTAGTTACACATTCACCTATATCCAATGTCTTTAAGGGAATTACAACCTTCTATAACTAGACCTATGATTACAGAGGCTCAACCAGAAGAGTTCATGGACATGTGGACTACATATAATAATGAAGTTAATGTATCAATTCCATCAAAATGCTTAATTGGAAAGCCAAAGAATTTAAGCTTAAACGAAAGATTCTAAAGTGGAAGAAATACCAAATCTGAAATAGGATTGCACAATATATGTATCAACAATAATTGATCCTAAAAGGGCAAGACAAATCCAAAAATAATCCACAAAATTATACGTATATATTAAGAAAAAACAAAACCACCCAAAACAAATCCATGTATTACACTGAATCTCATCTAATCAAATAGAAGGACAATTTCATAGCGATTCCAAACAGAAAATTTCAATTAGGACTCTACTCAATAAAACAATTGAATAATAGTAATACTACAGAACAATATTCATGCAAGCACTCAAAATCAAAATCTCAGTATAACTAATAACAATTAATTCCAATTACATATATGGATCTGGGTTTAACATTTTTTTTTTGATGAGTGGATCTGGGTTTAACATCAACAAAAAATTCAACCAAAACCTAGAAATGAAAAAATATAATTTTGATCTGGGTTGAACAAATCCAAATTCAACTAAAACCCAATGGAGAAATTGAAAAATAAAAATAAATATATAAAATCAACATCGCTATGAAAGAAAGTGCAAAATAGAGAATATTTTAAAAACGGTACCACAGGGCGGCTGCTGCTGAATACAGAGAGAGAAATTGCCTCACACAACTGCAAGAGAGAAAACAAATCGTCTCTAGAATCGAAAAACACTTGTAATCATACTATTACAAGTGTTTTAGGGCTTCAAAGGACTTTCACTCTTCAATATCGCGAGGTTTGTTTGAGTCGCCTCCCAAATCGCCAGATGTCTACGGTTTCAGAGGAGAGAAAAAATATCGGGTCGATTGTTGCAAGTGGATTTTAAACTTGTTTCCTCCGCTACAGTGTTGGCATAACTTGTTTCCTTGCTACAGTGCTTCTATTGGGCTAACAGAATTGAAACAAGAAAAACACCATTTTGGTGTTTCACTTTTTGGCCCAAAACAACAACTACCAAACATGTTTTGGGCCTAAAATGAAGCCTACAACAACAACAACGACGAAAAAAAAAAAAAACATATATATGCAGGATTGGAATGTAAAGTTCAACACATTTCATTCAAGGCTGAATCAAAACTAGAAAGTAAGAAGAGATATCATTAGAGTATAAATTTTGAATTATATATATACATATATCTTTATTTATTTTGTGTATAAATTTTCAAAGAAAGCAAGCAAGGAATAAGAAATTTTATTCCTTTTCCTTTTTCTTTTGGTGTTTGAAACAACTGCATTTGACATAACTTAAATTCTGAAAAGAAATTTGTTATTTCAAATGATTAAAACTAGAATTGTTGACATTATAGTGCTTTAAAATTTCATAAAAAATATATTCGAATTTAATGAGATTTTGATTTTTCATTTTATTCTAACAAATATAACACATAACTTATATCTGTTGTATATTTTGTTTTTTTGGTTACAAATATTTATTGGAATTTAAATAAGTAGATCATAGAACATGAAACTTGAAATTTTATTAAAAAGCCTTTTTACGAGAGGGGTTAGAATTTAAATTAATTGAAACCTGTCGCAAACTCGACATTTGCACTATTTTAATATTTTAAATAGGATTAAGTCCACCAAACTCTCTCCCCAAAAAAAACCCTGAGCTATAAGAAAGACATTTAACCCCCTAATCTATCATGTTTGTTGCAAAAACTCCAACTCTGTTGGTTAGCTATCTCATATTTAACGTTAGGCAGGGGAAGTGACCTATGTGCCTTGGCCAAAATTTAAAATCACATTTATACCCTTATTACTGTTCTAGACCATTATATATATCACCACACACACACACACACACACACCTTGTATAAACATTCGAACCAAAACCCCCCAAATTGAAAAAACCCTAATAATTTCGATTCTCTATTAGCAGCCAGACCTCTCTCCTTCACTATACTGAACGGACTCCTCTATGTTGCCATTTGACGCTCATGTTTCCGTCTCAATTTAGGTATCCAGATTCTCTTCCTCCACCACAACTTTGCCATCCCCATCGTCCAGCAATAGAAAACTTTGCACCAACGAGTTGTCCATATCCATCTCCATCTCATATTGGGTGTTCAAATTCTCCTCATCTGCCATAGCTTTGTCATCCCCATCTTCCAAAGAAGCAACCAAGGACTCTGTACTAACAAATTTTACTTTTTTCTATCTCCTGAACAGAGCTCTCTATTGCCTTTTTGCTGTCGTCTTCACCTCCATTTCAAAGCCCACCATTAAATTCTTCTCCTCTGCCACAACTTTGTCATCGTCATTGCTTGTAAAACCAATTGAGGTCTCTGCCCTAATAAATTCGGCAATTTCAAGCTCCTGAACACACTTCTCTCCACTATCTTTTGCGGTCTTGGTCTCCATTTCAAAGTCCACCATCAGATTTTTTTGGTTGTATGTACGTTGATTTTCTGATTTTTTGTTTTTGAGCTTCTCCTTTGCAGTAGCTCATGAACCCAACTAAACATAGCTTTGAGTGGGTTTAGCACGGGGTATTGAGATAGAGAGATCGCTTCAGTAGAAGGGAGGGATTGTTTGGCGCTGGTTTAAAGAGAGGGTTTAACGCCATATATCAATATAACCGAAACAATTGTGATGAAGTTATAATTACGACGTCTTGGCCTTTTTTTATTGGAGATTGAAATTGCATTTGCCACCTCAGCAGGCTGAAGTTGCACATCATTCAAAACGACGTCGTTCAAAGTAAGGGTTAATAGGTAAATTGATTGTTCTATTAACGGCTGATTGACAAATTATCCTTAAGTGCAACATTACTATAATTTAGGAGGTTATTTTTAGTTTAGGGTTTCTTGCAATTGGCTCATAATGGCAGGTTTAATGCACTTTATCCTTTTAAATTTTAAATTTTAGTTTTTACCCAATTTAATTACTATTTTAATATTTTAAATATCAACTAATTCCGGAGTCCCAAAAGCATAAATTGATTTCATTTCAAATCTAATCTAATTCATTTTTCTTTTTCTTTTTCCAAATCAAAATTCCTGATTAAAGTACCCTTCTCATCTAGGTTTTGTCTTCTGGAAGGAAGTCTCTCCTCTCTCTCTCGGTCGGCGAAGACGTTCCAAGTCCTTAATCCTGATGGAATCGGTACAGCGAATGACAACACTAGTATATTTCCTCGGATTCCTCCACTCAAACCCTAACTTTCCATATCCCAACGCAAAAAAACCCTAGTTTTCCATATCGCCGAATGTAAGCAAGATGCTTTATTAACTAACTATTAATCGGCTCAATCCGGGTAAAGAAGGGATCGCTATGTTCCATACTGACTTACTTCGTATCGAAGAATCGTGACTTTGCAGTTCCCCTCCCTATAAATAGGAAATCGGGTGCAGGCTCTACAGGATACTATTCTGATATTAGTGAAGGTCTGGTTCAGGTCGGGCAAAGGATCAATCAAGTAGACGTAAAATCTTACTTTTTTCCTGGCTTGAGGAGTGAAATTGCTATATGCGTCACACATGCATGCCGAACCTTGTTTTCTAGGATAGTAGCCTCGCTTGACTGACCCAGGATTGCTCCGAGTGAAACTTGAAACTGAAGACAGCAGGGCAATAGAATAGAAAGCAAAAAAAACCCTAGTTTTCCATGGCCACAGGGAAGAAACAATCGGAAGGTATAGCCCTGCTCTCCCTCTCCTCCATCTATGGCGACGAAGACGATGAAATGGAGGATGTTAACAACGAATACAAAGAAGAACAACAAGACGACTTCATGACTGATGGTAACGACGTTAACATTACAGAGGATGATTCAAAGAACAACAGTGATCAGATTGTTCATTCTGATCCTGCCAATGATTACACACCGCCACCTTCCAATGAAGTTTCTAGCCCTAAATCCCTCAATTTCGGGACTTCGACGCCGCAAAATGATCAGCTTTCTCTCTCGTCGCCACAACCACTGCCGCCGCAACAACAGCTTCCGTCGGATTCGAATAGAATTAGAAAGGGGACACTAACGATTGTTGATTACGGTCACGATGAAGGTGCACTCTCCCCTGAAGCTGAGGTACACTTTTTCACATTAATATAAAAATGAGATATGTGTTGGTTTGATTCACCACTAATGTTTAGTTCTTAGAACAGCTTTATTTTGGATCAATTTTATACTATTTCAAATTTATATGTACAAAAGTAATAAATGACATTTTGAGCACTGACAAACAATGAAATACAGAGAATCAATAAGATGACCCTCAAACAAAGCAGTTAGAAAGAACTAACTGGGTCCTCAATCTGCCATGACTCATGACTCATGACTCCCATGGTTAATTTTCCTATAATATTTGCAAAATGCCCGGTGAAACTAATGTTGTAGTTTAAAACGCATTACATTATTAAGAGGAAAAAAATGAATTAGCTGCATACACTCCATGTCAGGGCATATGAATTGAAGAATCTAGGAAATGCCGAACCACCATGTAAAGCTTGAGGTTGTTTGAAAAGCTTCTGTTCCCTCTGCAAATCAATTTTAATCATAAATTACTCCGAAAACAAGCCAATAGTTACTCCAAAGTATGCACTTACCAAGGAGTGTATATATAAAAATTTTCATATATGTAAATATTATTTGCACATTAGACCTGATGTAGAAGTATATGAATACCAGTCATAACCAAGAAAAAGGAGCCCCGAAATTGGCGCCCAAGGCAGCTCAGTATTGAGGTCCAAAAAGCAAGTTGTTCAAATAATTATGTGAAATGATTTAGTTTGTCTGTTGATTGTCTGATTGAATCTCTTTTTGGTTCTGTTAATTGTAGGAGGGAGAAATAGTAACCACTGGTCGTGTTATGTTTGGTGTGGAGCTTCAAACAGCTAACGGTATGTGACTTGTATTTGACGAATACATCTTGCTGGGGTGTGTGTGTACTTGTGGTGTTTACTATTGTATCTTTCAGTGCCTACTGTTCAGTAAACAATGCTTGGTTTTGTGATCATGTAATTCAATTAACTGCTCAGAACTGATTTAATAATTTGAGATCAGTAATGCTTTTTTTGGGATGAAATAAGAGGAGAAGTTATTTCTTTTTATATCCCTATACTTCCTTTTCTAAGCCAAACAAAGGAAAACAAGTAGTTCCTCTTCCCCTGTTCACATCTTTCATATTATCTCATCTTTTCTCCTACCAAACTAGAGAAGTGGAATTTTCTTTTATTTTGTTTTTGCTTTCTCTCTCTTATCTTTCCTTTACTTCTATTTTCCCTCCATTTTCTCTTCCCAACCAAATGATTTTATTTCCTTTCCATCCTTACTCATCTTTTAATATTCCTTCCCTTTTCATCCATCCCCCCTATACCAAACACAAGGTCATCACATATAATGCAACCATATACGTAACACAAAAAATGTCATATATGATTTACCATGTTTTGTATGTTCTCCTGAACTATTTTCTGAATATTTTCTCTAATAATTGTAGAAAGTACTCCCTTTTTTTTTTTTTTTTTCCCCCCCACTTCGATAAGGAAGTTAAATGAATTTATGTAGAATTAGAGGAAATGATACCGAAATCAGAATTGACTTGCCGACATGACTGAATGACATTTTTCTCATGTAATTTGGTGGAAAGGCCTTCTAATTGTAAAAAAGGCCCCATCCTCAATCAGAAAAGAAGGGAGATCTGCATTTGAGTTTGTAGTAATGTTGTGTTTATCAAGATTTCCTAGTTTGGATATTTTTACATGCATTAACAATTTCTACTCTTAACCTTTTCAAGTTTAATGTGGAAAAGTTTTCATAGAAACGGCTATGACCCAGTGTTTGTCCCTCCGGTACAGGGTTTTTCTTGGTACATACGTAAGCACAATATAGACTGTTACAAAACTTGAGCTTTGACATTATTTTCAGAAACTGGTTACTCTCCAACTTGAACCTACTTTTGCACAATTTGACGATACGAGCTTTTACCATTGCACTAAGCTGTGGCTTCAGTGGAAACATTTTCAAATGACAATTAATTTAGTGCTCTTAGATGGATATGATAAAATATGCACACATACATGTACATTGTACACACACAAATATTTGTTGCTGAGTTTTCGAGGTCTCACATAAGATTTCTGTAAAATTATGTTAGTTTCTTATTTTCGTCTGTATCTTTGCAAATTGTCTTCAGTTTTAGGTGACTTCCAAGAAAAAACGCCTTCAGGAACTGTCCAGGTCCTAACGCCAAACACTCAAGCAACTCCTCCTCAATCATCCGAACAACTCAATCCATCACAGTCTGATCCAATGAACTATGCTGTAAATGAATCAGAACCTGCAGAGGTTGACAATGCTGATCAAATTTCTATAGAAGTGCCAAAAGATGTTGATCCATTGGACAGATTTCTGCCCTCGCCTCCAAAATCCAAGTGCTCTGATGAACTGCAAGTATGTGCCTTTTTGAAAATTTGAAAGCTTATATTATGATTTTGTGCTGCTACTATTTTAAAGTGAAGTTGATAAAACACATCATTTGACATTTGGGAACTCTTGTGAAATTGGTCATTATTTATTTATTTCTCTACTTTGTCAGATAATGTTTGAACTTTGAACAAACTCAATACTTTTGTGACTTTAATATGTTATTGTTTCTATGGTTATGAACTGTTTAGATTGCAGTTTCCAGAACCTTTTTGATATTTTTCCCATTTCATGCATTTGATATCTACAAATATAGGTTCATTTTGGACATGTGATGTAGCTCTGTCTACAATCAGTGGCATTCATACTATATAGCAATTTTTTTTTTTTTTTTGGGATTTGTATGAAGCTTTGATTCCCTTTATTTAGTGATAGTTTATTTTTTGGCAATAAGTGCGTGAATGTTCTAGAATTAGCATCTTTTGAAATTTGACTATAATTTTAAAACCAGACTTGATCTGTTCTTCAAGTATTGTAGCATGTTAGGAGAGGAGGATATTCTCTGTTCTTTGCTCTCTTGGCCACGGCTGCACTATCATGCTATAAATTTGATCATTTTTAAGTTGAGTTGCAGGATTGCTGTAAAACCGCCTTTTATACGTTGTATATGGTGCTGCTATTTGTCTCCATTAAGTTCCTAACCACTACAGTACTACCAGCTCTTAGTTTGGTGGTGTCTTCCTCCACTTCTAAATCACAAGGTGTCTAGTTCAAGTACCTATTTGTTGGATGCCTGTTTATTACTTACAACAGCCTTTAGTAACAATTACCCTTCTATGTTATGTGAGGAATGACGTAACTTAATGTTCAAGATGTCCATGTCTTCCAGAGTATCTGAAAGGTATTGAAGACACTTTTTAAATGAAAATAATATTTACAAATTATGAATAAATTTGGGAAGTCCTTATCAAGGGTAAAGTTAGGGGAAAGGGAGAGCCAAAACTAACGTGTTGAGATAGGTATTGGTAATTGATGGTAGGTGAAGATGTTCATTTTTGAAGTTTCTAGGAAGACTTGAATCTAGGTCCCTGATATGACACAAAGGAGAGTACCGAACAAGTTATTGGCATGTTCACCAAGCGCCCATGTTAAAGTAAAAAGGGAATTTTTTTCACCCCTGAACTAACTGAAAAACACGATGAGCTTTTCTAAAGCTTTATGAAAAAGAATCTTTGAAGTTTGAACTGAATGGAGCCTAGCGATATTAGTATTTTCTGGATATTTTTTTTGAGGAACTGACACTTCAAAAGAGTCCCATTATAGACTTCTAAGTGACGTTCTACCATTCTGTTAATTGATGCGGAGGTGTAGAGTCTGTTATGCTTTTCTGTTTACAATTGGGTGGTTTGACGTAGCTGGCTTTAAATAATTCCATCAGTAGCTCCTGGGAGATCTTTAAATACATCTCTAGCAGGCTAGAGGGGGCCATAGCGTAATTAGAATTTTCCTCATTCTGTCTTTTGGTAACATGCATTAAATCACCCCCCTCTTTCTATTTTTGAAATAATTTTTACATATTCTAAGATTTGAATAACATTGATAGCATGAGTTTCCCAGCTTATACCATCAGTTATCATGCAAAAAAATTCAATTACTACTATATTATCTGCAGTTTTATGAGTTGATTTTATTAGCATATGAAATACTATTTTTTATACTTCCACCTCCCTTTGAGGGGGGTGGTTCAAGCCCAAGTGGAGCAAAATGGGCGGGTGCAGTTTTATTTAGTTGATTTTATTAGCATATGAAATACTATTTTTTATACTTCCACCTCACTTTGAGGAGGAGGAGGGTTCAAGCCCAAGTGGAGCAAAATGGGTGGGTGCGTTGCTTACCCCCCCCCCCCCCCCCCCCCCCAAAAAAAAAAAAAAAACTATTTCTTATGCCCCAATTTTTAATGAAGGGAACCCAACTTATTTGCAAATGTACTTGCCAAAAATATCTTCTTAGAAAATGCTGCTACTGTTGTGTCTGATGTCTGAAATTGTCCTGAAATCCTTCATTTGATACTGCAGGAAAAAATCAAGAAGTTTCTTGCATATAAGAGAAGTGGAAAAAGCTTTAATTCAGAAGTCCGCAACAGGAAGGAATATCGGAACCCTGACTTCTTGCAGCATGCAGTGATGTATCAAGACATTGATCAGATAGGATCTTGCTTCAGCAAAGATGTATTCGACCCTCGTGGATATGACAAAAGTGACTACTATGATGAAATAGGTCACTAACAATTCCTTGTACTCACCCTCTCTTGTCTCTCACCATCTATTATTCTATATATCTGCGTGCATATGAGATATAAATAATACATTGCAATGGTAGTTTGAGTTTAGTAGTCAATATTGTATTTATTCTCTTTCTACATGTTAGCTTTCATGGCTTTGCAATTTCAACCACAGTCAAACTTGGTTGTGTTCGATCATGTGTAAAGCAGATATGAGAAGTGGTTCCTGAACACTTCCCTTGCGGTCATATTTTGTTGCTATTCATATTAGTTTTCTGCATTGTTGCCAATTTGAAAAAATCAAAGGAAGATTCTGCCTTACACTTGATCAGGACCATTCAAAAGATAAATTAAAATAAATCAAACATAATAATACTCTTGATCAATGTTGTGTTATTGTTCTTCTCCTGCTTCCTCCGGAACCAAATACAACTAAGCTACTAAGGGTTATTTTCCCCATCATTAGCAGAAGGCCAACATGGTAACAGATTTCATTACCAAATCAAATTCGTATCGGCTTTCTCCATGGTTGAATTTGACTACACAATTGCCTACACAGTGTGTGTACATGTTGAGTATACTAGTAGATAATATATGACACAGATACGTGTGAAAGACTGCCTATAATAACAGCCTACATACACAAGAATTTTTTTTATTTTTTTCTACGAGCTTATGTTAATCTTTGTTCAAGCATTCTAAATCTTCACTAGTCAGGTTTCTTTGATTTTTTTTTTTTTTTTTTTAAATAATTTGTTCACCTTCCTCTGTACATGAACTTCCAATTTTCTAGCCATTCATATTTTTTCTGTGAAGTCATATTTCTATTATTGTGCCACTCATGTTATGTGTGTTCCTAAGTAGAGGCTGATATGAAACGTGAAATGGAGAGGAAGGAGCAAGAAAAGAAGAAGAGTCAAAAGGTTGAATTTATCGGGGGAGGAACACAGCCTGGAACAGTTGCTTTGGCACCAAAAATTAACATGCCAATTACAGGTCCATAAACCTCCTTCTATCATATGAATGCATTGGTTGAAGATGACTTTCCAACATTTTTTATATTTGATGATTTGTGAATTCTATTTCTTTCATTCAGGATGAAAAAAAATATTCTCTTTCTGATGATTTGTCTGTAAAGCAAGAGATTTAACTGTTTTTTCTTGGTTGATTGCTATTGTTTGCAGGTGTATCCACTGTGGTTGCTGGTGGATTGCATTCAGTTCCAGCTGCAGTTGATGCTGTGGCTCGGGATGGTAGGCAGAATAAGAAATCAAAGTGGGATAAGGTTTCCATAGATGCTGTAATAATTCATAATTTCTTAATGAAAGATAATATTACCTTCTTTAAGTCACCGTGATTTTCCAAACCATCTGGTTTAAGGTGGATAAGATACATATTTTAATCTGCTAGTCACTGTGATTTTCCAATTTTCTGGTTTTAGGTGGATGGTGATCGGAGGAATCCTCTGCCGGCCGGAGGGCAGGATTCTGTATCTGCTGTTGGATCACATGCAGCCATTCTGTCTGCTGCTAATGCTGGTACTGGATATACTGCTTTTGCGTAAGTTCATCTCTAGATCTACATTGACACACTTTATCATTACTCGTTTGCCTTTCTCTTTCTCTTCATGTTTGTGTTTGTGCTTACATTTCCTCTTGGTTTTGCTGTTTTGCATCTGTTAAATGCATTAGAAATATATATTTTTTCTCTTGAGAACATCCTATATTGTATTAAAAATAGGGAAGATAAGGGAGTCCTTCATGAATAATGTGGTGTTTTGAAATTATATCCCTTGTTATGTTATAAACATCCCTTTCCTCTTCTTTTAACAAATAATAAAGAAAGTTGTGTGTTTCTTTTGCCCTTAAAGTCAGTCACTGTTGATGAATACAATTATTATACCTATTTTACATTTACTATGTATATGTATTTTTTTTTTCCCCTGGCAAGCTAGGGGGAGGGGGGGACTCGAACATGGGCACACCCGCTCGGGGAGCTAGGCGCTCTACCAACTAGGCCACTGGGTAATAGAATGAGTTAATTGGTTCAATAGGTTCTGGTTAAATTTTGAAGTGCTATTAAAAATCAATTCAAATTTGGGTTGGGATGCCATGCTATACACAAAACATCATGGTATGGGTGGGTAGGGAGCAGCACTTAAAAAAAAAAATGTGGGTAGGGGATGCAGCCATTTCTACAATTGTTATATTCTCTCTTTGGTACAAAACTGATGTGGGACAGCTTTAGAAGTTTTAATTGCTATTTGCTTTCTGAAGCAATGCTCAAAATTGTTCACTCGTTGCATTAGTATTTTGTTTACAACAGTTTTGTTTACGGGATGAATGAACATGCCGGCATCTCGGCTCTTTGTTCCCACATTCCCATTGAGAAATTCCTGATAAAACAATGTATAATGCTTCCTTTAAAAGAAACAGAAGATATAATGATATAGATCAAGGCCATTGGAGTGGAGCGACATAAAACCCTATTGTCACAAACATAACTCAGGATAAAGGTGGCGGTTAATGGTGTATCATGCCAATCCCAATAGGTGTAGGGCAGAGTTGGTCACATTGATATTTGGGTTGCCGTCTTTAGCCTTGAAATGGAATCTCAGCATGATAAGATCACCGGTTCGATAGTGAATGATGCAGCAAAAAGCTGGAGTGGAAGATAAACCAGGAAACTGTTGGGAGAACAATGGAAAACGCTACTCTACGCTGAAAGAAATCCAGCAATTAAAGTAGTCTTAAGAACATAGAATGCTGCCCCTATAATTTGGTCTTCATTGATATATGTGGAATTTGAGCTGGTATTGGGTACCCCAGGGGTACTGGGAATATAGTACCCCCACCCAACTAAGAAGCACGGACACTTATGTGAAGGTGCCATGTCCGACACTCCATGGACGCTCCTTGACACGTGTCCGACACTTCATGGCCATGTCCATATTAAAAAATAAATTTTTTTACTTCGGACACTTTTGGCCGACACACCTTGGACACTTGGTCAACACATTCTGAACACTTGACCAACACATCCACTCATCCTACGCTCTTCAATTTATATAAAACAAACACATGAAACTTGTAGAAATAACATTATGAACATACATCAAAGTGTTCGGCCTCTAAAGGAACACAAATATAACTATAATGACAAGATAGGATAGTAATAGCTCATATAATATAACATATTCTTTTTAATATTCAATTAGAGTTATCTTCTAATATATGTAACTTTAGTATAGAATTTATAAATTAATTAAAGCTCAATGATTGTCAGATGAAAATTTACACTGATATTAGCCGTGTTTGTGTCCTAACTTTTTAGAATTTGGTGCGTCGGCGTATCCGTGTCGTATCATGTCTGCGTCCGTATCTATGCTTCTTAGCCACCAAATAAGGAATTCTTGTTTCCTATTATCAAGGGAATATATAGTTTTGATTGGGTGGGGATACTACAAAGTATGTACCCAGGGGGTATCGAAAAATTTTCCGTGGAATTTTTATAACATGCAATTCATGCACTTGATTCTCTAAAAGTATGAGAATTAGTATTATGTATATATTGTAAGGCTCTGTTTGCTTTGTGGTTTTGGGGAGAGAAGGAAAAGATGGTGTAAAGAAAAACATTTTTCTTTGTTTGTTCACCATTGAAAAATTGAAGAAAAGAAAATATGATTCTGTATTGGGAGAATCCTTTTTTTTTTTCATGCCATTTTCCTTTTCTTTTTCCTGCTCTCTTAACGATTTCTTTTAGAAAGTTTTAAATTCTAAGATTGTTCAAAGCAGAAGAGGAAATCAGAGGGTAATTATTTCTTTCTTTTTTATTTCTGTTTCCAACCTGACCCAGTTACAAGACATGCAGTGTAAAAGGCCAATAAAACTTGTTAATTTTATTAATTGATTCTCTTCAAAACTTTAAACATGCTACTACTAAATTGCCTTCGAAGGAAAATGAACACCAATTCTGCCCCTTAACTGACACTAAATGATTGGGATAAATTTTTATTTAGCTTAGTTGAGATAATATATTAATAAATTTATTAGTATAAAAGTTATATACTAGAGTCTATGGATGTAGATTCTAGTTATATGTTTCATGACATGAAAGGACCATTGATTTCAGGGATTGTGGAATAATTTTACGTTAATGACAGTTTTGTGTGAATTAAACATGGATAGCTGTGGCTGTTTCACATGATAGTAATATGGGATGAGAAGCTTATAGTGGTTTTAATAAATTGAAATAGATTTTGAACTTGTGTGGTTTTACTTTTCTTTTTCCACACCGTATACAGTTCGCATAATATCTACATTATCATGATTTCCATTCATTAATACTTCAAATTACAGGCTACAGAGACGACGGGAGGCAGAGGAGAGAAGATCTAGTGAAAAGAAATTGGACAGAAGATCTTGAGCCAATCATTGTGCGTGTTTACCATGAAACTATCAGATGGGATGGCTCCGTACAATGTTGTGACTCGTAGGCTTGTATTCTGTGGTCAGATAAAAAAATTTGTACATGGGCAGAACGAAAATGCATTTCTATCTTGATTACTGCCTTATAATTTTTTCTAGAACTGTTGGCGAATCACATCCTTTTTCTTCCCCTAGAATGGTTGGTGAATCACATCCTTTTTCTTGCCCCGAGGCAGTGCCTATTCTAATGGGCAAATTGCTTCATTTCATCTCTCTTTTCTTCCCCTTCCCGTTAATTAAGATTATCCTATAGTGCACCCCGTTGTTTAATTTTATATAGTGAATCAATCAAATTTTTCTTCAATTTGGTACTTCACCGGAGGTGTGGTCATAGTTTTTAATTATAGATATTGTTTAGAAAAATAGTGAGTTTTGGTACTCTTTTCCTAGTAAGCTTTGTACTTTCATAAGGTTCCTAGTTCCTATCGATGATCAATCGGTTGTTCTGGTCTAATCATGTTGGATACCACGTGTTTGCCATACTTCTGAAGAATCATATAAATTGGAAGGTTATGTTCCATTATTACTGGACTTTCTTTTTGACATTGCAGAATAAGTGTGATCTTCGCTTCCAGAATTCTCTGTTTCTTGTGTATTGGAACTGGGGTTTTGAATAACTTGCCTCTTGGCAAGGGATTTCCTTGTTTATATGGTGAAGATTTTGACTCCCGGATTTCTCTGTTTTAGGTGTAACCTTGACCCCACTTTCAAATATTGCCTAGATTGATTATGAGAACTGAATCTTTTTAGATGGTTTATATATATACAAATCATTACAAATATGTATCAGTAGTCAATCCTTGTTTTTTTTCCCGTCAAAATCAACCTTCACATGCTCAATCAAATCCCTAGCCGAAAGGAATCTCTTTGGAAATAATTGAAAAAGAAGGTATGACCCTACCCTTTGTCATCTCCATCACCACAGGTTCTATTACTTTGTCTCAACTTTCTTAATTTTGTATGTAATTTTCATATTAAGACGGGTAAACTTTCAGCCAATTGCACAAAACCTCCCTGAATTAACAATTGCCTCCTGAACTATGATAAAGCTCCAGTTTAGGACATCAGGTGAGGTCTTCGGCACCGGAAAAAGAGGATAACAATATTACCCTTTAGTATGTGTCAAACAAATCTTAACCATCCAATAGAATTGTGACAGCACACCTTATCTACCTCATCCTTATCACCAAACCACCACTCATTTCAGCGCGCCAAACACGGCCTTACACACAAGGCTTTCTCTCTCTACGCTCTAGTTTTCCCACCGTCGACGACATTGTCGACCAAAAAGTTTTGCCTTGGGTCTGTATGATGCTCATCAAAAAGGTTTGTTTGTGGTTCACTGGAATGAGACTTCACTGGTTTGCTCGCAGTGCCGGCGTTCATGGAGTTTGAGGTTGGCTCTCACCAGTTTCGCTGCCTGTTGATTCTTAGAGCTTTTCATCGGCGTCAGCGGTAATGGAGTTTAAGGTTGGGCTCTCACCGGTTTTAATGGAAAAACTTTCATTTTGATTGGAGTGGCCGAAAACAGTTCCAATATTATCCCTTTTGACGGGCACAGTTAAGTGTGATTACCAAAAAAAAAATACATCAACGCCATCCGCATCCCCACACCGGTGACCTAAATCTATCAACATCGGTGACCAAAAATAAAGAATTCATCAACACCATCCCACGCCGCACCGGTGACCCAAAAAAGAATCCATCGAAGCTACCATCTTACTTTATTGGGGCCCAATTAGTAAACACTAATCCTTAATCTATACCTCCAATTTATATGTAAACCATTTGGGTGTCCTCTGTTTCTTCCTGGCAAACACGAAATAGTCACGTAGTAATTTGCAGAGGGTTTTGTCGCTGTTGCTTAGGCTATAAAAGTGAAATCCCCAAATCAACAGCAGCAATTGAAGCCTTGCCTCTACCCATTCGAACCTTAAGCTTGCAAATTGCCGATATCACCGTTTTGATTCTCTGCAACTGCAAGGCATTGTAGATTCACAAATTGAAGCACTGTCTGTGATCTACAAACCCTTATAAGTGAAATTTCTTTGATTTATAGTGTGAGAAACGAAGATTTTGTTGAGCTTTGTTGAAACTTTCTTTATATTTGGTTTGGTAGATAAGCTCTGTTACTTTGTCGAAGTAAGCTCTGTTACAATCTTTCTCTCTGTGTACAGGTTTGGTTTGTGACGGTTGTATGGTTGGTAGAGCACCAAAACGATGAAGGGAATCTCGCTTTTTAGGGTTTCAATAATTTGGAATTTTTTTATTTTGATTTTATACATTTAATAGTATAAGGGTAGCTTTGTCATTTTAAAAATAGAGTACTGGCATGTGTTCATCGCGCCTAATTGGCCGGAGAAAACAAACAGAATTTTAAGAATGGGTAATTTTTTCAAAAAAATTGATAGTTTAGGGGGTTAATTATAACAAAAATAGTTTAGGAGAGTTTTTAGGAAGAGAGAGTAAAATTCAGGGGGTTTTTTTTGCACTTTACCCTATTAAGAATTGGTCACTCCTGGCTTTATTGCCGTCCTACTAGGATTATGTCTGGCCAATACCTCGGTCAGCGTCAACTGTATGTATCAATAAAATCATTATTGGTTCCACTGAATCCTATTTTGGACGATTGATAGGGAAGAAATTCACAGTAATGTATGTCATGTTTACAAGGACTCTTGTAGGATACATGTTATAACAATGGTTTTGTTCGAGTTATACACTCTTATTCTGAGTTTGCCTATGATTGTATATACAACTGTTAACAGGCTTCAATTACATGGCTAATTGTCTTTATATTATTATTTTTTTTAGAATTGGATTTCATGTATACGTATGTTATCAGTACACTAAAAATATGTTACCCTGATTGTCCAAGTTTTGATTGTTTTCCTGTGGTTTACAAAGTAACTCCTTGATATCATCATCCATTGTCTCATTTATCATTAGTGATCTTGGGCGGAGATTTGTTGCACTAAATTTTGGTGCCATGTATTTGTGAGTGTGGATTACTATTTTGGGATGGAGGAAGTATATTTTTAACATATTTACATTTACTTTTTTAAGTAAGATAAAATGTGTTGAAAATTGAATTTAACATGTTGAAATTTAGATTTAGTGGGTTGAAAGTGTGAACTCTACGAGCGTCCAAAAGTAGTAGTTTTTGCATTTTCTAGGTGTTGGAACTAACACAATATATTCAAAGAATGATATACTCAGTATCTTTTCAACTTGGAATTAAGAGGACCTCTTTTATTAGAACAGAGCTAGTACACTTCTGTCAAAGAAGATCCAAACTTTTGTGTAATCTATTAAATTTTTATTATTACTATTTTTTAAATTTTTTTATAATATATATATATATATATATTAATTTTTTCTAATCAATATGTGGTCACATTGTATTTCCCTCGATCAACAAGTTACATTTTTTTTTTTTTTTTAATTTTTAGAGCCAATGTCTTGGATGAAGTTGTTACATTGTTTTGCAGAGGAAGAAAGAGAAGTTGCTATGTCCACCTCTTATTAGTTAATTGTTGCATTGTCATGACCTTCTTAAAGTGGCCTAACCTTATCTAGATATGTTTTGCTTTTAGCTTTGTAGATTGGTCCCAGAATTATTTGTTCTATTACATTTATTTATTTATTTTTAGGTAAGCAACACACACTAACACGCACATACTACACTTTCTTCCAACGTTAATGAATCCTTCATTTCTTAATCTATTTTTTAATCCCTTCACTCTTACTTTTCCTTTTTCTATACATAGGAATGCTCAATCTAGTCATAGAAAGACATTGTCATGGTGATACTGTCTTCACCATAAACTTACCATCTGCTAAAACTCACCTACAATATCAGAGCTTAAACTTACATAAATCCGGAGCAGATGTAATGTATATTCATGAACTGACATTATAGTTGAGTTTAAATAATTTATTAAAATAAAGGAAAATATTAAAGGTTCCAATGAGATCTTATTATTGACTGAACTAAACACTTTAAAATGAGAGTGACTCTTCATAATTGATTATTGTGTAAGAGTTCTTATTTATTGAAATTGCCAAAAATTTAATTCCGCATTGTAGCTTTACTATTTCAGTGAAAACTTAAAAGAGAGTATCTTTTGTATTGATGTTCTTTTTATATGCAATTATTTTAGGGTTTGTTGAGTTGGTGATTGGCAGGTGGAGGCAAGAAACCATGAATTTGGCTGCCTCAGCAGGGGAAAAGGTGAAAATTTTAGATTGTAGTCATTATTTTAGGGGGTAAAGTACAAAAAACCCCCTTCAACTATTGGCCATGTGCAATTAATTCCCCTGAACTACAATTTGCCTCCTTGAACTATTGAATTTGGTGCAATTAAGTCCCTATGTGACATCTCCGGCCAATTGGTGTAAACAGAAATAGTAAAAGATAATTTTACCCCTTACATAAAACTATGTTCTGCTGCAATTCTCTGGTTAGATTTTCCGGTCACTTTCTCTCTCTAAAACATATGTTCTCTTTTGTTCACAACCAATTAAGCTTTGATCTTTAATGAGTTTACTCTGAAATAGAGATTCAAGGGGAGAAAGAAAGAAGATATATATATTTTTTCCTTATATATCATTTCCAGGACCTCCGCCAATAAGTAAACCCAATAGCGGCAAGAAAAGACATCACATGTAAACATGCAATGAAACCCATCACAGTCGCAACTGTTTTAGGTGAAGGGGGCGGCAAGGGAGGGAACTCAAGAGGAAGATTTGGAGCATTAGGGAGCATTGTGAAAAGATTCTACAAAATAAGGGCTTTCAGTCCATACACACCACCTGAAATACAATGAACCACCACCATTAACACCGCCACTGCCACACCAAGATGAGAGAGAAAATGGATAGAAATAACAAAAACCCAGATCTTCAAAGACTAAATTTCATTGTAATTTGAACAAATTCAGGAATCAATCTATAAAATTGTGATTGCACAAATGGGTTTGTTGCGATTGTGACGGAGGATTCGACGCCCCGTACGGACTCAATTTCGCCGATTTTGCTCTACAAATTTAAAATGTAACAACACTTCCTTTACTCTCTTCGTTTCAGTTTTATAGAGAGAGAAGCAATTTGGAGGCGGTGAAGGCTATTAGCTTGGGTTCATGTGTTGTCGCTAGAGATTTACGGCGGAGGACGGTGAGGAGGTTCTTGGATCTGTTAGTAGGGTTGGTGTGTTGGGTATCGTGTGTTGATAGTGTTCGTGTTCCGAGCACCGCCGCAAGTCAGCGCTGAACTTTGCCTCATTCGCCGACCTCCTCGTTCCGAGCTCGCCGCCGCCTCCATCATAGCCAACACCATCAATTGAGCCTATCTCTATCGTTGTTGGAATCGGAATGGTGGAAACGGTTGATGTCGTCTAAGGAATGGATTATTTTAATTCAATGATTTCCATATGAACTGCATCTTCCGGACCAGTAACGCCGCAGAGATCAACACAACGACCCGGGTCCCCAAACTAGAACTCGCCCACTTGTTCCGGACTCACCACTGCGCAGACAACCAGGCGTAACTCAACTCGTTTCAGGAGGATGATGACAAGGGAGATACCATAATTTCATTCACGAAGGACCTGATTAGAGTCGCTGGGCAAAGCCACCGTCGAAGGTGTAGTTGTGGGGACGGACCGGACGGTGGTGATGGTATCTATATGTTTTATTGACGATGAACAGTGTGTATTTAGCATAAGGGCGTGTTTGGGTGTTTTAATTGGTTTTGGGTGTAAAGATAAAGGGTTGTATGGTCACTTAAAGAAATTTGGGTCATCACGTGACACATCATGTGCGCCTTCACGGTCAAATTCAACCGGCTTACCACCGGACGGGGTTAATTGCACCATTGGTTAGTTCAAGGGGGTTATATGCTAAATTAGTAGATCAGGGGGATTTTCTGCCACATGGCCAATAGTTGAAGGGGTTTTTTTGCACTTTACCCATTTTATTTTAGGTTTGTAGTACTATACGGAATACACAAACATGTGTGTGTGTACATGTAGACAAAGGCGGAACCAATTAAGGCCCAGAGGGGGCACGTGCCCCCCTCACTTTGCTCCAACCTACTATACATAGGTACATATTTTTTGTATATATATATATATTTACATGGTAATTTAAAATAGTGCCCCCCTTAAATTTTCAAATTCTTTTAATTTCCTTTTGAAAAAAAAAAAAATACATATATCCCTTTTTCAAATATACATCCTTTTCTAATTTTTGTTTCCTTTTTCAAAAAATTTATTTTTTCACTTATGTATAATTATGTATTTTTCTATTTTTTTAAACTTAATTTTTTTTATCGATGACATTTGTGATTGTATTTAATTAAAATATTATTAATTAATATTTTGATTGTTATATTTGTAACTATATATTTTTTACGGTATTTATTTAGCATATTATTTTACAACTATTTTTTTTTTAATTTGCCTTGTTGATTTACAAAAAATTATATTGTCATATTTATTAAAAAAATAATAATAATAAAAAATAAAAAATTTAACAAGTGCATTGTGTTCCCTCTGAAATAAAATCCTGATTCCGCCCCTGCACGTAGATATGTACTAGTATGTATGGTAAAAGTAAAAGTCAGTAAAAGGGCTCGGCTATCAATGCTGCTTGTCTTGGCATAAAAAATAGGGTAAAGTGCATATAACCCCCTTGAACTTTACTTTCTCTCCCTAAAAACCCCCCTGAACTTTTTTTTTTAGCAAAAAACTCCCTAAACTATCTTTATTTTTGCAAAAAAAAACCCAGGGATCACTTTTCCAGTTGATTTTATCTGTGAAAGAGGCACGTGAGGCATGTTGTGACACCCCTCGATTCTAGAGCCACAGGTGATCAAGTCCGAGCACGGATCCGAAAGATACCAAACAATTAATATGTAAACAAGCAAGAATAAAAACTGAATTAAGAATAAATTAATAATACGCTGAAAGAAATTTAAAATAAAAATCTTCAAACTTTAAATAATAAATTAATTTCATTTAAATCCTTCAAATCCGTACAACTCGGGAATCCATCTAGTGGACCCCTAATAATTCTAACTGAT